AACTTCCCCAGGATTGTCAGGCCTCACTCTGCTATGCCGACAGCCCCCACCTGGCTCTTAGGAGAAAGACCTGGAAGCTGCCTATGCATTTCCCCCTCTGCAACTTGAGGTTAGAACAAGATCTTGATGACTCAGTCTCCCCACCCCACCTCCAATACTCTCTTTCCTCCCACTTGCTTGCTTTTTAGAGGTGTGCCTCAGATTGGGCGTGGGGAGGTTGGTAGAGTTGATTACAATAGGATGAGAAATCACAAATTAGCCACTACAGAATTTATTGGTTACCTTGGACAAAGTAAATTGTTACAGAAGGAGCCTGGGCTGGGGAACCATATAAACTTTAGTTCAAATTCGTTATTTTACAGATCATACAACTTTACAATTGTGTGATCTTGGGCAAATTACCTGACCTCTCTGAGCCTGTTTGCTCATCTGTATTACAGGCATAAAAGCACCATATTGGTTAAAGCAATGCTAGTCTCTGTAATAAACACACACACACACACACACAAATCCTTAAATGTGCTATTATAGAAGTTTATTTCTGATTCACACAAAGTCCACTACATTTGTTCCCAGCAAATGTGGGCTGCTATCCTCCAAGAGAGAATTTAGGTGCTTGAGTCCCTTTGTACAGCTTCACCATTTTTCAAACATGGCTATCAAGGTCACCAGGCTTGTAGACCCCAATCCAAAGGCTAGAAAAAGATGATAGAGGTCCATGGCAAATGGAGGAGTCCTATGCTAGGCCTAGAGATGGCATACATCACTTCTGCTCACATGCTAGTATCTAGATCATAGTCATATGGCTGCAATTAATTGCAAAAAAACAATGGGAAATGAGGTCCATCTGTGTGCCCAAGAAGATGAGGAAACAGGTTTAATAAACATGTAGCTAATGTTTGCCACATACACTTTTGGGGAGAATATGAGGCTTAACTGAAATGATGAAACAGTGCTGCTTTCAGCAAATGTTAGTTCCTTGCTTCCTTTTTTTCCCCCATGGCCAAATTTTGGCTAGACCCGGTGAAGGAATGCTTCATTTGTAAAGCTACACAAATACAGCAGCAGCTGTACCACCAAGTTCTTCAGTCCCCAAGTCCTTGCCCAGCACTGTCCCAACATTGCCACAACAGGGGACACTGGAATCTTGTTCTTCTTCCTCCCCTTCATGATCAAGCCCATTACCAAGAGTCCTTCTAGCTTCCCAAGTCTCCACCTTCCCACAAAATCAGATTTAGCTGTTAAACCCTATGGTCAGAAAACTATCACTTTAGAAACAGTTCAAACAAATTGTTTGCTATTGCTGCATTTCTTCTAAAATTTATTTTTAATGCCTGGAGGTTGGATTACAGTCTTTAGTCGCTGTAGTTCCCACCATTTTCTATGGTGTCACATCTGGTGTGCTTCATTTACACATTTGGTTTTTGGAAAATTTGTATTTAGTACCCCCAGAACTTCCTAGGTTTCCATGCAGGGATTCCTCACCACCCCTACCTTGGATGCTTTCCCAATTATCCACTCGGACCCTATGGCTTTTACCTATACCCAAAGGCACACAGTGGCTTAGCTTTCTCTTTCTGTACAAATACATAACTTTGGGAGTAAGATATCTATCATGACTCCCCCTTGTCTTTATTCCCTTGTATATGCATCTGGGAGAAAGGTTTAACGAGAAACATCTGAATGAAATTCATAGTTTCACAGCATACAAGTAGATGTGGTTTCTTTATAATCTTTTGGAGGCTTATTCTTTATAGTGTTCCAGGACAGCATTTCAGCAGTGTTCTAAGAGAAAATATGTCCCAAATTCCAAAACAATTGAATTCTGAATGAATTCGATGACACAATTGTGCATAACTTGAAAATTATGTTGATGAAAGTTCTGATATGGTGGAAAGCTTTGGAAACAGAACTAATTTTTTTGATAAATAATTTTTAAAATTTTTATTTAAGTAACATTGCATTAAAACATTATTTAAGTTTCAGGTGTGCATCATTACAAATCAACATCTGTGTATGCTACATTAAGTTCATCACTAAAAGTCCAATTCTATCTTTCACCATATAATTAACCCCTTTCAACTGAGTGACAAATTTAAATCCTGACTCTGTCATTAATTGTGTGACTTTGGGCAAATTACATAAGCTCTCTGAAGGATGTTTCCGTATCTGTAAAAGAGAAATAATCTTACTTAAAGTATTGATACAAAGATTTAGTGAAAGAAGTATATTCAGCCCTAGTATAGTGACTGGCACATAGTAACTACTCGTAAATAACAAACATTATATTCACCAAAACATAAAGAAGAGGGCCTCCCTTGTGGTGCAAAGGTTTAAGCACAGCACTGTGAAGCTATTCACAGTCTCTGCAACATGGGTTTGATCCCCAGCCAGGGAGATACCCCACATGGCACAGCAGACCTTTCCTGTCTTGCCTGCTGCTCCCCTCAGCAGTGTATTTCAGTCAGTCTGCCTGTTCTGTTCCCACTCTGTCTCTGGTGAATCCTCCCAGCCCCCTCATCTCTGGCCTGTACCCCAGTACTTGTGTGCATAAATAAATAAATCTTTAAAAAAAAAAAGGTTTTATAATCCAGGAAAAATTTTTTTTTAATAATAAATTTTATTTTTATATTCCCCATACAATTTCAACCCCTCCAGCCAGGAAAATTTTTAATTATTCAATAATTTAATTATCCATTCCATTAAAGCTGAACATTTAGCATATCCATGAATTTCATGAACACCGCTTTCATAAAATCTTGGAAATTTTATTTTATCATTACTGTGTTTATTAAGAGGGCTTCCTAAGAGTAGTACTGCCAAGTCAAAGGGTGAGCATCTTTACCATTCTTATATGAATAGCCCTTCAGAAATGCTGTAACAACTTGTACCCCAGCAGTGGTGATGTGGGGGGAGGAGGGGGCTAATCTTCATGCTTGGCCTCCCTGTTCACTTCTAGGAGGTGTCTAGGAGTTGAACAGCTGCTTTGGAAAAACGCATGTTGTTTGTTGGGGAGCTGCCCAGCAAGTACTTCCTTTTCCTAATATTCTCCTGTCTTCCTTTTGGGGAATTGCCTTTTCCCCTGCAACTGTTGATGGAACTTCAGAGTTGCAGGGGACCTGGAAGGGTGAAAGAACTAAGAAGCCAACGGCCAGCGCACCTACTGCAGGCCTGGCCCCTGGCGACCAGGGCTTCCAGGCCTGGAGCCTAGTTCCTGGGACAGGCAGGGATCCTCGCCCTGCCCTGTGCCCCAGGGCCCCTCTCCTATGAGAGGAGGGGGTGCGCAGGGCCAGTACTGGAGCCTTTGGATAACACCCTGGCTCTCCCTTTATCCCAAATCGGGCAGAGAAGGCACGAAATCCCAAAGTGCCAGGCGCAAGGTAGAGACCCAGCGGTGTTTGTTGAATGCACCTCTAAAGGTGATTGAGAGTATGAGCAAGACTGAAGCACTGTAACTGTTGTCTTGAGCCTTGTTCGCACTGAGAGAGCCACTTGGGAGGAAGTTGGAGGGGCCCTTTCTCATGTTAGGCTTGTCCTGCCATCTAGTGGCGGGTGAGAGTACAAGGGCAGGAAGGAGGCCCAGAACAGAGTGTGGCCTGCACCCCAAGAACCTGTTGTCCCGGCAGCCAGCAGTGGGTGGGCAGCACGTCGGGCACCTCCCAGCTCCGAGTGCCACATGCAAGAGGCAAGTGCAGGAAACACTCTTGACAATAATAAATACAGCTACTGTTTATGGAGTGCTTACTATCTGCCAAAAACTGACCAGAGTTTTACATCCTTTCATTCTTGAATTCTTCCCAGCAGCCCCTGAAGGATGGGGAAACAAAGACCAAAGAAGTCAAGTAACATGCCCAGCTAGTGGGTGGCAAAGGCAGGAATCAAATGCAGCATCATCTGACTTTATAACTTGGGTTTCTAGGAACACATGCAGAATCACAGAGCAATTGCTCGTTCTGTGTCCCTTACACTCCAGCACCCCGACCTCACCCAAGCCATTCCTGACCAACAGAGGGTGGTTTTGTTCATTGTGCCACACTGCCCCATTTCCACAAGCTGTGCTTTATCAGGTCCCCAATTCTCTACGCTGAGCAACTCCAAAAGGATGTTTTTCTCTCCTTCAGCCCGGAGATTGTTGAGGGAGAAAGGAAAAGTGGTGGAGTCCTTTATCCACTGCCAACAAATAACAATATGTTTTAGAGTAACTTACTAAGTTCTTTCCCCAGTAAGCTTGTGTGAGATGGAGATGCAGACTGGGTTCCTGAAAGGCATTCTTGTTTAAGATCAGCCATTGTAAAGTTTGCTTCTAAACCCAAAAGGGCTTCTCGTGCACTCCAGGAACAAGGGCCAGGGTTGGCCCAGAGCCACCCAGCCTTGTTCCAAAGGCTGAAAGCACTAACCTGCCATCCCCATGAGCACGCGGCAGGGCCAGGGGACCTGCCGGCTACAAACTCTCCCCATTTAAGCAACACTGAGGTTTATTTAGGAAGCAGCAGTCATTCTTCCTGCCGGGCCCACCCAGATGAGTAATAAGCCACCTATTTTTAGTTTAGGGTTTTGCTTTCCTTTTCCCTTTTAAGAAATTTATCCAAACCCACTTTCCAGGCTTGAGAACTTAAGCTGCAGCGAGTTCATTGCTGTGGGGGTGAGAGTGCCCTCTGAAAGGGAGAGTAGTCCTCACACTTTTAGTGTAAGATCCTCTCACTTGTGGAGAGAAGTCCACAAGTATGCCATCACTGCTGATGCTGAAAATAAAAGTTTGTTGGATGGGTAAATGAAGGATAGGTGGATGACTATATGAATTACTGTATGGTGATTTAACAGATGATTTAAATGAATCAAAGTATGAAATTCCAACCTGGAAGCAGAATGTTAGAATGTACAACACTTGTGCTTGTTCATTGAGCACCATGTTCTCCAGAGAGTCTTCTTCAAAAATTTTTATTTTAAGAAATTAAAATCATGTAAAACTTCACTAAGAATCTGACAATGCACTTGAGAAAACTGCAGCTGCTGAGGGAGATGCAGAGCCAGGGTTCAAGATCACTTGTACAGAAGAAGGCTGAGTACCCACACGTGTAGAGACGAAGCTCCAAGTTCTCCAGACAGAGCCTTTTGAGGCAACTTGGCTTCAAAGAGGAGAGAGAACTACAAAAGGTGACAGGTGTGGGACTTCTCATTAACATATCATCCTCATCACTATCTGCAAAGTTATATGTGAGTCAAACTACTCATCAAATCACTGATGCAGCATTTTCTTCTGAAGAGAGGATGCAGGGAGAGCGGTGGGTTGCAAACAATTGTGTGCTGACATGCCTGTTCTGTCAACACAGGGGCTGTGCAGTGCTGGAAAGAGAACCAGGAGCCAGGAGAAGAGAAGTTATTTGTCAGGGGCCTGGGCGAACAGCTTAAATATCCTTGAAGGCTTCCAGGTTCTCTGAGATAAACTGACTGAAGCTTTTGACTTTGGGGTTCAGTCGGTGGGTGAGCTTCACATCACGGTCTGGCCTCATTTGATAGAAACGACACATGTCAGCCATTTCCTTAGCTGCTGGAAAACCCAGCTTCTCATAGGCATCTGGGGTGATCTTTAAAGAACAAGCCAAAAGACAGGAACTTTACCATCCACATTTAAAATAGTTTGAAAAGAAATAATTCACTTTAATAGTGATACAGGTCCACAGTTCTTTACTACTTCCAGAGCCCAAGAAACTTGCACATTTTTTTCATAAGCAATTTGGCAACAAACTGGACTTTTCTGCACTAAATTTTGAACAACTTTTCTGGACAATTTGGGTGGCAAGATTTGATTTGAACGTCCATGAATTTATTTGTGGTCTTTCATTATCCTATTAGTGGAAAGAGTTTTATTGTTTTCTGCAGAAGGATTGACGTATCTGATTACAGGTTTGCTGCTGCCCTCACCCCAGCTGGTGATGTTATGTACTATACAGAGACCATAACCAATCTAAAAGTGGAAGGGTCTGAAAGTTGAATTGTTTCTTTCCCCAAGCATTTTGGATAAGGTATTATGGATCCATATCCCCCACCCCTGCACCTGACCAAATTTCACATACATTTCCTGATTGGGCTGCCCAGCAGCGTGCAGGGACAATTCACCCCTCAAGTCCTCCACGTGGCCTCAGGGCCCCCTCACTCTGGCAGAGCTCTCTATCCTTCCCTCCTGGCTGATGTTTTTCCTGATGTCACTCTCCTCCTTGATTAGAAATGAGCATTTGTACTTCAACAAACAGAGCCTCTGCCAGGACCACGCCCAAGGAGAAATACTTACTTTGTACACCTACTGAGCCCCCTCTGGCACCTTCCACAAAATCTACCTCTGCATCCCTTCTGACACTAACTAGATTTATCTTGCCCTCCACCTGAATTAGCAAAGACCATTTCAATCAGATCCAGTATAATCTATCTTCAGCCCCCAGAGATAAATCCTAACCTCACTATTACAATTGACCTTAGAAAAGTATGAGAGACACAAACCACATATGTAAACAATGGCTTTCACATGCCATTTAAAATACTGAAAATCACAATGGTATGTGGTAATAGAATATGGGTGAGTTGGTGGTGGGTACACTACGGTGGTAATATCTGATGGGAAAACCCCAATATTATCTCAGTTTAAATAATTAATTTAAAAATAAAATAAGGCCTCTCTGGTGGCGCAAGGAGTCTCGGCGCTATCAAGCCATTGCGGCCTGAGTTTGATCCCTGGCCTGGGAGCTAACACACATGGCGCAGCAGACCTCTCCTGTCAAGCCCACTGCTCCCCTCAGCAGTCTATTTCAGTAGATCTACCTTTCTGCTTCCCGCTCTGTCTCTAGTGAATCTTCTCACCCGTGCACCCCAGTTCTTGTATGCATAAATAGATAAAAGATAATAAATCTTTTAAAAATAAAATAACAACAAATCAAGAATAACCCACATGTGCACAAATTAGAGGAATGGTAAAATAAATTGTGGTAAATACACTCTAAGAATGTTATGCAGTTATGGGCCTTCCTGGTGGCGCAGGGGTTAAAACGCAACCTATGTAGCAACCTATGTAGCCACTGCAGCATGAGTTCGATTCCCGGCCGGCCAGGGAGAAACCCACATGGTGGGACAGACCTCTCCTGTCTTGCCCGCTGCTCCCCTCAGCAGTGTATTCAGTCTGTCTGTTCTGTTCCCCACTCTGTCTCTGGTGAATCCTCTCACACCCCACATCTCTGGCCTGTACCCCAATTCTTGTATAAAAATAAATAAATCTTTTTATTAAAAAAAAGAATGTTATGCAGTTATTTAAACTTAATGTTTTTGAAGAAATTCTAAAAAATAGGAAATGCTACTAGTAAATGTCGCATGGAAAAAGCCAGATACAAAATGGTAACTATAGTGTTATTTTAATTTTCTTACATAGGTAATATATGTATTAACAGAAGACAATGTGCCAAATCTTAACAGCTGTGCTTTCTGATAGATTGAACCATGATTGATTTGTATTTTCCTTTTTATAATTTTCCTTTTTATAATTTTTGCCTTTTTATAATTTTATCATTTTCTGTAAACAAGCATTTGTTTACTTCTGAAATCAGGGTAAAAAACTTAAAATGTCAATGAGTTTGGACATAGAAGACTATATGAGAAGTGTGGAAGATCACTTCTACAGTGTCTGTGTCTGAGTTCCATCCTGTAACTTTGATAATTAATATCTTTCAGAAAAATAAGATTCTTTTCTGCAGACATTTGAAGGAAAGAGATTTGTTCTGTTGTGTCTCACTTCCTGAAAGAACCCTGTTGTTTTGAGAGGTTAGATAGACAAGACAGTTCTGCCAAACCAGAGTTCCTGCCCAGAGCTTATTCTGGGGCAGAACTTTGAAGCAGTGTAGGACCTTCTGACCAAAGAATGAGGGAGCCCAATACAGGGGCTGGAGCGCCACCTTGTGACCAGATGCATCCTTCCCCAGAGAAGCAGAATTCAGTGACTTGAAACAGGTGACTTAAAAACAGATTAACTATTCCGTAGAATTCCCAGCCTATAATGTACTAAAACTTTAAAGCTTCTGCTGTGTTGTGAAACAACTTGATGTACCATGAATAGTCAAGGACCAAGTATATGGACCAGAAATAGTTGAAAGGCGACCTCCCTGGTGGCACAGGGGTTAAGATGCAACTTATGAAGCTATCCACAGCCACTACAGCACAAGTTCAATCCCTGGCCAGGGAGATACCCACATGGTGCAGCAGACCTCTCCTGTCTCTCCCGCTGCTCCCCTCAGCAGTGTATTTCAGTCAATCTGCCTGTTCTGTTCCCCACTCTGTCTCTGGTGAATCCTTGTATGCATAAATAAACAAATCTTTAAAAAAAAAAAAAGAAATAGTTGAAAGGTCCTCAGCCATCCCAAACATCTATCCAGTTCCTTGAGAATAAGGACACACACACACACACACACACACACACACCCACACTCTTCCTCCTTCTTACTTACAGAGTTCAACCCCACAAGACAAAATGAATAGAAGACACAGATGTAAATGCCCTGAGGGGTCAGTCACTGAGAAATAAATTTGCACCCAAGTACAAGTGACTTACAAGATCCTCTCATGAGTCCATATTTTAAGTGAGTAAATATCCTCTTGGGTTTGGGAGTATCTTATGTTTTCCGTGAAATTTTTTATGATTTTCAGTGAGATTCCCACAGGTGGTTTTGTAGCTGGACTTAGACCTATGGTCGTTTTCCTCAAAAAGATCTGTCTCCTCACAACTGCAGTACCTAAGGCTGAGTTGGGAGTCTAGATATTCCCTAAAAACCACTGGACCAAGAGATGCAGGTAAAAGCAAAAATAACCTCCGTCACTGACTCTGGAAAACAAGAGTCACCAGACTTTGTGTTCAAGGGCTGGATATAAATAGTTTAGATTGAGCTGGTCAGATAGTCTCCTTCACAGCTATCAAATCTATCATTGTATCATGAAAACAGTCCGACACTGTTGCCATAAACAATGGTGTGCTGTGTTCCAATAAATTTTTATTTACAAAAGCAGACTTGAACTCTGTGAGGAAGAAGAGACCCCTCCTCTGGGGAGATGTTAACACTGGATAGGAACTCATAAATCATCCGAACAACACTCATTTCACAAATGGGAGCACTATGACCAAGAGAGGCAGAGTCATCTCAGCCTTAAGGGGTGATATGGGTCCTCCTCTCAGCTCCATGGTGTCTCTGGCATTAACACACACTTCCTTCTCAGAGACCCCTTTCTCTTTCCCATTCCTCATATCACATCTGCTTGGAGTAAGGGCTGGTAATGCTCATATCATCAATTATATTCATTTTTCCATAAAAAGTTTTTTTTTTCTAGCCATATTCTAGTCCAGGCCATTCCGGCATGATTTAGACCCCGTTCAGTTACTGAGGACTTTCTAAGCACCAGAATTATTGTGAGGCACCTCCTATATATATTTCATTTCATCCTCACAACAAACCTAGCATATGAAGAAACTGAGTCTGGGGAAGTTAAGTAACTTGTCAAGACTCCACTGATAGGGCCTCCCTGGTGGCTCAAGGGGTTAAATCTCAACACTATGAAGCGATCCTGGGCCAGGGAGCTAATCCACATGGCGCAGCAGACCTCTCCTGTTTCCCCCACTGCTCCCCACAGTGTATTTCGGTCAGCGTGTGTTTCAGTCATCGCCTATTCTGCTCCCCACTCTGTCTCTGGTGAATTCTCTCACCCCCCACACCTCTGGCCTACACCCCAGTTCTTATATGCATAAATAAATAAAATAAATCTTTAAAATTAAAAAAAAAGACTCCACTGATAGATAAGGGGAGAGCCAGGATTTGCTTGCTTTCTAATACTGCTTCCAGTTCAGCTATGTTTATTCTAGAATTCAGTCAGACCCCCTATCTCTCCCTCCACCGATACATTGCCCTAGCCATCCTCAGAGACTCCCTCAAGGGCATTTCTTCCAGGAAGTCTTCTACTTTTCTGGTCACTATATCACTGATAGTGTGTGACACAATTAAGCACCTTTAGTGTTCTATCTTGTACTGATCACTGTGAATTAATATTTTCACTCTGCTATGAACTTTTCAAGGATAGCAACAGATACAAGATATATATTTCATACATATTACTATGTGCCAAATACAATGTCAGGCTTTCTAAATATATTCTCTTTTTCACAGGAACACCACAAGATAGATATTATCTTCCTAGTTTGTAAATGAGGAAGCTGAGGCTCAGAGACTGAGTGTTTTGCCCCAGATCGGTTCGCTCTGGCTGACTGGAGTGATCAGCAGTGAGAGCTTATGAGAGGAAAATGGGGAGACCGTATATGAAAAGTCATACCTTGGTCTTCAGATTCTAAGTAATTTTTTTAACAAGACAGCTAATCTTAAACAAACAAACAAATAAATAAATAAATAAATAAAGCCATAATGGGATTCAGATGCACCAACAGATGAAGATATATTTACAGAACTGCAATCCTCTTCAATTTTTTTCAACAGGCGAGGTTCAGCCCTGCCTAAGTGGAACCCACTTTGTAAATTAGTGGAATATGAAGCATGGTAGCCTCTGGTGATCACATTTATGTCTCCTAAGAACTCACCTTTGCATCTCGGACTTCTTTCCCCAGTCCCTTGGATAAAACATCAGCATATTGCTGTACTGTCAGTGCTTCTGCACTGAGACCCACAGCCTTGCCTAAAAACTCCTCTGGAGAATTAAAAATGCTAGAGATGATGGCTCCAACATCTGCAACAGAGATGCCATCCATTGGGATGTCCCCCATAGGCACTGCTATTTAAAAAAAAAAAGAGAGAGAGAGAATTAGTGAGTTACAGCACATTCTTGGTAGGTCCCAACAACCTGAACTCATCAGCCAGTTAAACAAAAGGCCCGAAAATGCAATAAAATCTTGTGGCCACAACCTGTGCAGTTATAAGGTTTTGTTTAAGAAAATATCACAATAACTGGATATTGATTTTTTAAAAAAGAGTGACCAGGCCTCCCCTGGTGGCGCAGGCAGTTGAGCACCGCGCTGCGAAGCTGTCTGCAAACTCTGCAGCGCCGGTTCGATCCCGGTCGGCTGGTGAGGGTCCCACATGGCACGGCAGACCTCTCCTGTCGCCCGCTGCTCCCCTCAGCAGTGTATTTCATCAGTCTGCCTGTTCTGTTCTTCGCTCTGTCTCTGGTGGGTCCTCTCACCCTCCCGCGCATATGGCCTGTACCCCGCTTCTTGTATAAAATAAATAAAATAAATCTTTAAAAATAAATAAATAAAAATAAATAAATAAATAAATAAAAGTGACCAATTACTAAGCTACTGTTGTGAACAATGCATGATCAATTCTATCTTCAGCTCAGAGATCTTTGCAGAATTCTAGACTTACACATTCAGCTTCTTACCGCAACATCCTTACTTGACTGTTTAATAGACATTTTAAACTCAATGTATTCAAAACTGAATTCCTATACCCTGATAACCTGCTTCCCTTATAGACTTTTCCATCTCAGTTAATGCAACTCTATCATTCCAGTTTCTCAAGCCAAAAATCTTGGAGTCAATCTTGGCACTTCTCATGTCCCTTATCTTTTTTTAAAAAAGATTTATTTTTATTCATTTATGAATACAAGAACTGGCATGTAGGCCAGAGGTGCAGGGGGTGAGAGGATTCACCAGAGTCAGAGTGGAGAGCAGAACCGGCAGATTGACTGAAATACACTGGTGAGGGGAGCAGTGGGTGAGACAGGAGAGGTCTGCTGCGCCATGTGGGTTAGCTCCCTGGCTGGGAATCAAACTCATGCCACAGTGGCTGGTGATAGCTTGGTAGCCCCCCCCCCCATTTTTAAAAGTTCTATTCATAGTATGTCCAGAATCTTACCACATCTCATCAATCTTCTCTACTACCACCCAGGTCGAAGTCACCACTGTCTTTGATTTGGGTCCCCTCTATCATCTTTTCTCAATACAGAAATCAGAGTGATCTTTAAAAATTAAAGTTAACTAAACTATGGGACTCAGAGTCCATTCCGTTCTGACTTTGACGTTCATTTTTTATTGGACGGTAGAGGTTCTTGGATTAAGTTTAAAGCAGCTATAGAACAGTGGTAAAGAATATATCTCTGGAGCCAGACTGCCAGGGTTCAAGTTCTGGTTCTGCTTTCTGAGTGACCTTGGGAAAGTTATTTAATCTAACTGTCCCTCAGTTTCCTCATCTGTAAAATGGAGGTAATAAGCACAGTGTTGGTCACCTAGTACGTGCTTAGTGGATTTTGTATAATTCCTATAGTGGGGGATGGAGTACAGGGACACCTGAGGCAGGGTTTTACAGATATTGGGGTCCTAGATGGGACTTGGTACCAGAGATTAAGCCATCACCTTACCCAGGACCAATATAATCCACAGGTTATAATGTCCTATATCTGGACTTGGGAAATGTCAAGTGAGTTGACTTCTGAAACCCGGTAGGGACATAGGAAGAAAAGGGCAGAAGTGGAATGGAGTGGGGTAGGGAGTAAAGACATGTATCACATTTATTTAGTCTCATCAAACTATTCCCCAGCTCCTCTATGATAAATGGCAGGTACCCCTGTCACTAACTTGGGCGTGCCACTAAGTAAGCCCTTGGTGAGTCTCATTTATGTGCCAAGGAAAAAAGACTTAATCACTGCCACTGAAGCTCCTATATTTCCTCCACTCTATAAAGCCACCTCAAACTACAGGCAAAGAAAATGCTCCCAGAGGGCAAGAGAATGCCAGTCAGTGGACTGGCAGCATTAGAATTACCAGGAGTCCTGGGTAAAGCTACAGTCTTCCAAACATTTAGAATTTGTCCCTGTGAAGTCAGAGACCCACTGAAGATTCTGACCATAGAACCCAGATCAAGAGAACGTCTCCCCTGTTGCCATAGAAGGTCAGATGGATGAGCTAGAAGGGATTTTAGAAGCCATCTTGTCCAACTTTCCCATTAGACATGAGGAAAGTGGGGCTATTTAGCAAACTATTTACATAAGGAGGATCTCTATGTTAAGACTGAAAGTGTAGGGCCTATTTGGTGGCACAAGAGGTTAAGCATTAGCACTATGAAGCTGTCCGCAGCCACTGCAGCACAAGTATGATCCCCAGCCAGGGAGCGACCCACACAGTGCAGCAGACCTCTCCTATCTTGCCCACTGCTCCCCTCAGCAGTGTATTTCAGTCAGTCAGACTGTTCTGCTCCCCACTCTATCTCTAGTGAATCCTCCCACCCCACTCCACCCCCTGCACCTCTGGCATACACCCCAGCTCTTGTATGCTATAAATAAATAAAAATAAATTTTAATAAAAAGACTGGAAGTGTAATCCTTTGGGTTTTAGATACAAGATCCAGTTTTCTGAACCTTACAGTGCAACTGTTCCAGGCAAGTCCCGAACAATTTGCTACCCCTCTCAGCATCTCATACAGAACTAAGCTCATAGTAGGCACTCAAACAATATGTGTTCACCAGAAAAAGGAAATAAGGGGAAGGACAGTGGCAGAGGGGGTGGAAGTGTCTGCCTAACTTTGTAACCTCCCAGTTACCTAAGGTGTAGTAGTCTGCATCAGGGGCTTTCATGAGCTTCCACGCTGTGAGAAAGTTTTCAAAATATGCTGCCAGGCGGGTGCTGGTCGTGGGAACACCAATAGACCAGAAATACTCCTCCACCTCTCCCTTCCCATCAAAGTGGGGGACCTCCAACTTGCCACCAGTCAGGCGCTTGACATTCTCCAGGCCGCTGTACACCACGTGCTTCAGCCCCAGGCGCTTGGCAGTATCTGCCACCATCTTTCCCTAAGGAACAACAGAACAATCTTTATATACACACACAGACCAGAGGGCAGGTGGCCCTCCACACTTCCTTGTCCTTTTGTCCTTGGAGAGAAAGACTTTCCAGCACCAACATATGTTCTTTTCTTTTTTAAAAAAGATTTATTTATACATACAAAAATTGGGGTACAGGCCAGAGGTGCAGGAGGGTGAAAGGATTCATCAGAGAAAGAGCGGGGAGCAGAACAGGTGGATTGACTGAAATACACTGCTGAGGGGAGGAGTGGGAGAAACAGGAGAGGTCTGCTGCACCATGTGGGTAGCTCCCTGGCTGGCCGGGGATTGAACTCATGCTGCAGAAGCTGCAGATAGCTTCAGAGTGCTGTGCTCAACCCCTTGCGCCACCAGGGAGGCCCCAACATATATTCTAATAGCTATCATATGAGAATACGCCAGTATTAGTGAGCAGAGCCTCTACTGTGTCCCAATTTGGAACCCCTCGGCCTATTCCCACTAGGCCTGTAAGACCCCAGACTCTGTGGGTGGGGTAGGACAGGGGGTATAGGAAAGAGGGGAAGGAAGAGAGACGAAAGGGATGGTTGAGGGTGCTGAGAAGCAATCTGGTGGAAGGACATTTGGTCACTTCCTGTGGACTCTCAGTGTCTTTGTGATCAATTGTCACATTGATACATAATATTGTTTTCTGGTAATTATATCTACAGAGCATTTGGATTGTGAAGGCATAATGGAGCGGTATGTATACTAAATATAAGCACAAATATTATGTATATTTTCTTTTTAAAGATTTATTTATTTATACAAGCACTGGGGTATACAGGCCAGAGGCACGGGAAGGTGAGAGAATTCACCAGAGACAGAGCAGGGAGCAGAACAGGCAGAAGAACTGAAGTACACTGTGAGGAGAGCAGTCCGCGAGACAGCAGAGGCCTGTCGTGCCATAGGGGAATCTCCCTGGCCTGCCAGGAATCAGACAGGCGCTGCAGAGGCTGCGGACAGCTTCACCGCGCTGCGCTCCACCAGCTGCGCCACAGGGGAGGCCCGTATGTTCTTTTGTGTGTTTTTAGTTTCAAAATCTTTCAGAACACTTTCATCACTTCTCTGTCTTATTTTCAGTGTTTCCATCTTTCTTTTCCTTATACAACCTTGCGTAACAGGCAGAGAAGACATAATCTGGTTCGGTAGGTACAAAAAGTGAAACAAGAAGGAACTTGTACTCTTGGCTCCAAAGTAAGTGAATATGAGATTTAGAACCCAGAGTTCCTAAAATAAACCCTTCCAAAATTTATTACTAAAAAACAAGCTGTAAATGATATAATTAATTTAACAGGCATTCCTGAAACAGTTCATTCCTGCTCTGAATGTTTTGAATTGTGACATTTTCTGCAAAAGGCTGATCCTGGCCCTTACATTTAAAAAAAATCTAATCTTCTTATTTTTTCTAATAATACATATATGCAATTTTCAAATAGTATTGTCTTAGGGGCAAAGAGGAGTACATCTTATAGTGACAAAGAATTTCTCTGTACCCCCAGGCTGATTATTGCTCTCCAGAAGTAACCACCTTCATTTCTTTGGGCTGTTTCTTCCTTTCCAAATAACATATTAAAATATTGATTATTAAAATATTAATTAAATAAATAAAAATATTTAAAATATTTTCAATTATTTAATTATTAAAAAATAATTAAAATATTAATTATTCTTTTTTAAATGTATTTATATATTTTTACATTGTTGTTCATTTTTTTACAGGTTTGATTTCTCCTTTCAAGTATAATCCCCATAAAATGATCACCACTAAGGGCCTCCCCTGGTGGCGCAGCGGTTGAGCGCTGGGTTGCGAAGCTGCCCGCAGCCTCTGCAGCGCCAGTTCTATCCCCGGCCACCGGTGACGGTCCCACATGGCGCGCAGACCTCTCCTGCCGCCCGCTGCTCCCCTCGGCAGTGTATTTCGTCAGTCTGCCTGTTCTGTTCCCTGCTCTGGCTCTGGTGAATTCTCTCACCCTCCTGCGCTTCTGACTGTACCCAGTGCTTGTATAAATAAATAAATAAATCTTTAAAAAAAAAAAAAATGATCACCACTAAGATACCCATGAAGCGTCACCATAGTCTCTTGTGCTCTTCCCTCCCCTGTAAAACTGTACATTCTTGATCTGTTCAGTTTGAGTTATCATCTGTTAAAATGCCTACTATGAGAAGATTATTTAATGCCCACCTTTCCACCCCCCCCCCGACACACACATAATCCACCAGCACCATTGCCACTACACATATACGCAGTTCCTTTTATTTAATCCTCCCAATATCATAATCTGGGATTCAATCACTAATCAGTCTTAGTCATGTGATATTCTATGTCTATGTTCACCTTTCCCACAAGTTTTTGTTTTCCCTAGAGTTGGTCCTTGTGGGTTTATTTGCTTGTTACTTATTTTCCTATGGCCCATTACTAATTCAACCCCAAATTCTCTACCAGAAGAGTAAATATATTTATTACATTTTTTAATCTTCCCACTTCATTCTCAAAGTAATTTTATTGCCACCCCAATCTTGCTATCTATGACCAAGTGCTGAGAATTAGAAAATCTGATGGTGGGCTCTCCCACGGCCACCCTCAAATATCCAGGGTCTTGATATTTGAACAAGTGCTATATATAACATTGATTTCACAATCAAATATACCTTTAATGGGCCTCCCTGGTGGCTCAGGGCATAAAGATGGCGCTATCAAGCTATCACCAGCCACTGAAGCGCGGAGTTCAATCCAGGCCAGCCAGGGAGCAACCCACATGATGCAGCAGACCTCTCCCGTCTCTCCTGCTGCTCCCCTCAGCAGTGTATTTTAGTCAGTCTGCATGTTCTGCTCCCCACTCTCTCTGGTGAATCCTCTCACCCCACCCCCACACCTCTTGCTTACACCCCAGTTCTTGAATACATAAATAAATCTTAAAAAAAAATAAAACCTCTGACAAGTATCTGAAGTACATATAATTCATGAACACCAGAGATGCTGTGGAGTGAGGTTTATATTTTTGGCCAGACCATTAGGCTACCTCCTTGCAGGAAATGCTGAGTAGCCAAGGAGGGGAAGAGAAATAGACTCAAAGGGGGAGATTGTTCCCACCTGACACATTTCCTTCTCTTTGCTGCCATGGTCCCAGAAGTTGGTCACCACGAAGGCACCATAGGCATCTTTCAAAGCTGCCTCCACTGAGGCTTCATCGTTCAAGTCGCCTCTGACCACCTCAGCGCCAAGGTCCTGGAGCGCCAGTGCACTGGGGCGAGTCACATCCCTGGTCAGTGCTCTCACAGCAAACTTTTTGCCCTCCAAAATGGCCCTGGCCACAGAGCCACCCTGGGCTCCTGCAGGATTGGAAAGAAGAAACATTGACTTATCAGAATGAATGTTCACTGAAAGTTAGTCAAGAAATCCCACATTCAGGGGCCTCCCTGGTGGCGCAAGGGGATAAGCACTGCACTATGAAGCTGTCCTCAGCCTCTGAAGAATGAGTTCAATCCCTGGCCGTCGAGGGATCAACCCACATGGCTAAGCAGACCTCTCCTGTCTCGCCCACTGCTCCCCTCAGCAGTGTATTTCAGTCAGTCTGCCTGTTCTGTTCCCCACTCTATCTCTGGTGGATCCTCTCACCCCCGTATCTCTGGCCTGTACCCCAGCTCTTGTATGCATGCATAAATAAATCTTTAAAAAAAAAAAGAAGTCCCCCATTCAGAGTAGAGCTCTTTCAGGGGGCATCCCCATGGCTTGCAACAGTGGTTTTCAAACTAAGTTTCTCAAAGTCTCTTCAGAGGTACCTTCAGAGAAGCCACGGGAGAGGAATAACAAAGAGGTAGAGCAAGGTGGCTAAGGAGCAGGAAATCAGACCCAAGATTCAACTGAACAATTCTACTTTGTTCTGGTTGTGGAGTTTATATTGGAGCTCTTTGTATAATTTTCTTTTCTTTTTTTTTAAATTTTTTTCCATACAAGAGCTGGGGTGTAAGCCAGAGGTGCGAGGTGGTAAGAGGATTCACCAGAGACAGAGTGGAGAGCAGAACAAGCAGATCTACTGAAATATACTGCTGAGGGGAGCAGTGGGTGAGACAGGAGAGGTCTGCTACACCATGGGGGTTAGCTCCCAGGCCAGAGATCCGAACTTGTGCTTGCAGTGGCTGCCAATAGTACTGCAGTGGTTGCCGATAGCTTCATGGTGCTGAGACTTAACCCATACTCTTAGAGAGGTGGAGGAAATTTAATAAAGATGGACAGGGCAGAGAGAAACAAAGAATAAGGAAGGAAGCAATAGGAGGAAGAAGCACCACCAGGGAGGTCCCTGGTCCCTGCATTCAAGCACCACCAGGGAGGTCCCTTGCGCCACCAGGGAGGTCCCTGTATAATTTTGTTTTCTAAAGAAATTTCTATTTTACATTTCTAAAAGTTTGAAAGTTTGCAGTTTATTTTTATGACATTAAAGATCATTCATGATATGATCATTTCATGCCTAATTTAGCCACTCTACAAATATTTACTGACTATCCTATGAGATATGCTGGGTGTTGTGCTGGGTGACTGACACTTGGTGTCCTCCATCAAATTGGTTGAATAACTGTACTGAACATTTTTGTGCTGTGCCTCCAGAGCCACATTTGCCTTCTCTACCCTGCTCTAAGGCCTCGGGTGCTGACCTGTATGGAGTCTGTCAGTGGGCTCTATGAGCAGAAGAGGACAGAAGGAGAGATGGCCTTCTCCACATTGCCAGTGTCCCCAGGTTTTAGTCATCTTCCCTGCCATTTGCTTCTTCCTCCTATTGCTTCCTTCCTTATTCTTTGTTGCTCTCTGCCCTGTCCATCTTTATTAAATTTCCTCCACCTCTCTAAGAGTATGGCACTTGTTTCTTGTGGAAAAATCTAAGACAACCTTATGGGGCCTGTCACTCAATGACCTCTGCCTTTGCATATGGAGCTTCAAAGTTTAGTCCTCTATGGGCCTCCCTGGTGGCGCAGGGGCTAAAGACACAGCGCCATCAAGCTATTGCCAGTCACTGCAGCATGAGTTGTGTTCCCAGCCAGCCAGGGAGCTAACCACATGGCACAGCAGATCTCTCCTGTCTCACCCACTGCTTCCCTCAGCAGTGTATTTCAGTCAGTCTGCCTGTTCTGCACCCCCAATCTGTCTCTGGTGAATCCCCTCAGACCCCACAACTCTCACCTATACCCCAGTTCTTGTATGCATAAATAAATAAATCTTAAAAAAAAAAAGTTTAGTGCTTTAGTTGTAAACATGAACAGATAGTCAAAGGTCACCAGATGTTTGAGGAAAGCCTCTGTTATGAGAGGCAAAACAAAAATAAACAAACTGATAAAAGCAAACAGAAACAATGGAGGAAATGGAGAATAATTTAAAAGAATTAATATTCTTTTATCTTTTCCAGAGACTGGAGAAAATATTGCATTCAGACCAACACATCTGCATGCTGTACCCATAAGAGAGGGGTGGGGGGGCAAGCAGGAATGAAAACATTTAGAAGACAAGGTCTTCAAATTTTTAAATAGTAGAGCACAAATAAATTTTTGATAGAAAAAGTTGGAGGGGGACCTCCCTGGTGACGCAAGGGGTTAAGTCTCAGCACTATGAAGCAATCAGCAGCCACTGCAGGAGTTCCATCCCCAGCCAAGGAGGTGACCCACATGGCGCAGCAGACCTCTCCTGTCTTGCTTGCTGCTCCCCTCAGCAGTGTATTTCAGTAGATCTGCCTGTTTAGCTCCCTGCTCTGTCTCTGGTGGTCCTCTCACCCCCCACACCTCTGGCCTGTATCCCAGTTCTTGTATGCATAAATAAATAAAAACAAATCTCTAAAAAAAAGAAAAATGATGATTGTTTATCTGAAATTTAAATTTAACTAGGTATCTTATATTTGTGTCTACTAAACCTGGCAGTCCTATCACAAACACCCAAACATAGCCAGTGAGACAAGGTTTACTGAACTAGGAGCAAGACTTGGACAATAAGGCAATTAGGCCGCCCTCCCTGCTGACTAAAAGTCAGCTTTCCCTTTTTTTTTTTTTTTTTTTTTGTATGCCTGAAATTATTTATTTTTTCAATAATTTTTTTAAATTTTATTTATTTTTACATCATTTTTTCATTTTTGCACAATGTATGGGGACTAACCAAGATGAAAGTCAGCTTTCTTCAACTCTGACACATCTAACCTGATTCCTTTAGGAGCCACTCCCAAGGCTCTTACCCAACTGCCTATGCTGGGTGTCAAGGTAACAATTCAAACTTAACAAAACTAAAACAGAGCTCCTGATTATTTTGACCTGCCCCCCTGCTCCCCTCCCTGACAGTGAAACCCATTTCAGTGAATCACATCTTTATTCCACCAGTTGTTCAAGTCAGATACTTTGAAGTCATTCTTTACTCCTCTTTCCTCCCCTCTGATATCTGTGAACCCTCTCAACTCTCTTCAAACAAATCTGGAATCTGACTAGCCCCCACCACCTCAATGCTGCCACCCTGATCTAAGTCACTGTCCACTTAACTGGATTATAGCAACAACTGCAGTACTATTGGCAGCCACTGCAGCACAAGCTCAATTCCTGGCCTGGGAGCTAACACCCATGGTGCAGCAGACCTCTCCTGTCTCACCCGCTGCTCCCCTCAGCAGTGTATTTCAGTAGATCTGCTTGTTTTGCTCTCTACTCTGTCTCTGGTGAATCCTCTTACCACCTCACACCTCTGGCTTACACCCCAGCTCTTGTATGGAAAAAAAATTTGAAAAAAAAGAAAAGAAAATTATACAAAGAACTCCAATATAAACTCCACAACCAGAACAACAGGTAGAGGAGGGAGAGTTGTAAAAGTGAAGTTAGAGAAGGGCCTTGCAAGCCATTAGCTGGATTTTGCATTATACTTGGAGTGAGATGAGGGAGGAAGGTCTTGGAGGGTTTTGAACAAAAGGATGACATGATCTGACAATTTCAAATGGATCATCAGGAGACTGAAATGAGAATGGATTGAAGGGGAGTGACCTGATTTGACCACAACTTTGCAAAGGTGTTTCTGGCTGCCAGAGAAAGATAGTAAGGGAAGAAATACCAGTTAAAAGTTTCAGGAATACCAGTTAATAAGTTTAGGTGGTTGTCAGGTAAGAGAAAACCTCAGCACATTCTTTTTAACTGCCACCCACTTCATCCTCTTAGAACCGCTAGAATATTGGTCAGCCATGTGGACACTCCCTGCCTATGCCCATGTCTCACATTTGCTCCTTTTACTTCTTAGGTATTGGGTGCAGAAAAGTCTCCAGAGTAGAGTTTATGTTAAAATGAAACGTACATCTACAAGTCAGAACATGATCAGGAAAGAGGGAATTTGTCACTTGTCTTTGTCCCCCTGAGATAATTTCTGACAAATCAGGTTAAATCATCCTGTCCCTTTACCATCTCAGAAACTCAAGCAAGAGAATAACTGTCTTAATTTCCTCCAAAGTACTCTTTTTCAGTCCACATTTGCAGGTTCTGAAGTTAAAAACAGAAAGACAGAAAAGTAAGCAAACTCAGCATACAGTTATAAAATAAGGACTTGCTTACCTGTTGCTCCAAATACTGCAATTACTTTCTTGTTGGCCATGTTAATAAAGAGTTGGGTAGAAGCAGAATCTTCTTGAGAGCAGAGAACCTTCCTGAAATGCAATGTCTCCTCGCGTGTGAGAGTTATAAAGCACACCTGATAACCACACCCTTTAGTTTGCCCCTCCCTTGTAAATTTTTTTATTATCACCAGCTAGCTTAATCACTCTGACACTGCAGTTTTCTAAATGAGGTTTCATTCATTCACTCACTCATTTATTTGGCAAAAATGAATTTGGTATCCTGGAGATCTCAATCTTATGAGAGCAATAAACTAGTACAGTAGGAAGAACTGGTATAGGTTGTGGATCTCATAAGTAAAATGCTAAACAAAAGAATACCTAGATGTGATTCAATTTCTATAAAATTCAAAAACATGAAAAACTAATCAATGATGGAAGACATCAGAATGGCAGTTATTTGGGGGTGTAGTGACTGTAAGGAGCTTCAGGGGGTCTTCTACTAAGCTGGTATGTTCTATTTCTTGATCTGGTTGTTGATCATATGCATAAGTTCACACAGTAGAAAGAACTGGTACAGGTTGTGGAAAGCTGTTTGGAGAACCCTCAAATTACTAAAAATGGATCTATCATATGACCCAGCAATTCCACTCCTAAGAATCTACTCAAAGGACACAAAAACATTAATTCAAAAGGGACCTTGCACTCCTATGTTCATTGCAGCACTATTTGCAATAGGTAAGCTATGGAAACAACCTAAATGCCCCAAAACTGTTGACTGGATTAAGATGTGGTACATATCCACAATGGAATCCTACTCAACAATCAAAAAGATAAACTCATGCCATTCGTAGCAACATGGATGGAGCTGGAAGTAATTATGCTCAGTGAAATAAGTCAGAAAGAAAAAGAAAAATATCAGATGGTTTCACTTATAGGAGGAACATAGAGAAACCAAACAAGGGTTCAGGGGGAAAAAGACAAATCTATCAAGAAAACTATAAATCTGAGACATTCATCAGGGGAGGAGGAGGAAGAGGAAAAAGCACAAGAGTTGATGGTGATGGTTCACGGGTATCTTGGCAGTGGTAAATTTATGGGGACAACACCTGAGAGGAGATATTAAACATTGTACAAAAATGAACAACAATGTAAAATATATTAAAAAATGGAGGGGGGGAGGAGAATTAAAACTTTTTTTTTTCTTTTTTCACAATATCACCACTCTGTAGGGGCCATAGCTAGCATGTTTAGTCTTATATTTTTATGCATTTTTCCTTTATATTATTGAGAAAATCCTTTATGTACAATTTAGTATTTATTGAGAAGTGAAATAAAGATGGACAAAAGTAGGGCCTCCCTGGCGGCGCAAGGGGTTAAGATGCAACCTATGAAGCTATTCGCAGCCACTGCAGCACAAGTTCCATCCCCGGCCAGGGAGGACCCACATGGCACAGCAGACCTCTGCTGACTCTCCCGCTGCTCCCCTCAGCAGTGTATTTCAGTCAGTCTGCCTGTTCTGTTCCCCATTCTGTCTCTGGAGAATCGTCTCACCACCACCACCACCACTCACGCCTCTGGCCTGTATCTCAGTTCTTGTATGCATAAATAAATAAAAATAAATCTTTTTTAAAATGCTACCATGGAATTGGGCTGGAAAAGATACCATGGCTGCTGCCACTGTGCTTATGACCATCAACACTGCTGACCTGGACACTGGACCCAACTGCTACAAGTGCTATCCTGCTGCCTCTGGTAACAACACAGAGCTGTTGTTGCGGTTGTTATGCATTTCTGGAATGTATTTTACACAATCTCAGTCCCTTTGTATCATTAACTTCTGAATATAAGACTGAGGTGGTTCTTCATTGCAGGGAAAGCTAGGAAAACAAAATCTCTGGGATCCATGGCATCTGTAATGGTAGGTTACCTTGCTGTATGTGGCAACTCCCCAAACACAGGGCAGGGCAGGAATTCAAATACTAAATGACCATCAAGGGGACAAATTTCTACAACAATCTACCACTTTAACTCCCCTAACTCAGCTTATACTTTTCTTCCCAAACTTGTATTTCTTTTAAAACACTAACATCTAACATAATGCAGCTACTTTGTATATCTTTAACCTCGCTCACAAGTAGTTAAAGCAAAAATCCGTTTTTCCATTTAGAATCATCTTGAGTAATCTCTTCTCTCTTTTAATTCTCAGATAGTTCATTTTGAAAATTTATCCACTATTCTTTAAATTCTAAAATTAGTAAGCATCTTCTTCTATATAAAGTATTTGGAGGAAAGGAGAACAAAGATGAAAATTAGTCTAAAATATACAAATATATACATAAAAATGCCAGTAGATATTTAAGTTCTCATTTGTGCAGCAGAATCCAAGGCCATAGATAGTAATTATAACTTCCCTTCTTAACTATGCATTGCTATCTATGTCTATATCCAAAAGCAACTAAGTTGCTCAAATCTTTGTTCTTCAAAGACTTGAAGTCTTAATGGAATTAAATTACATTTTAGAATTGCATCTGCTTATATAAGTTTACTGCAGTTTTTTGTGAATTTTTACGACTACACAAGGTAGTACTGATCAACCACCACCAAAATTTATGCCTTTTTCTTAATGGTATAAAAATGTACTCTTCCATTCAGAAAGAAACCAGTCAGTCCCCCAGAAACTTCACTAGGATCACACCATTGTACTTGCCTGGGATTCTTCTCCTAATCCCTGGCATACTTGTTTTTATGAATAAATCTTCATAAAAGGTGCTTTTAGTTACATAGGTCATTTTAGCCTCATGTTATCAATATAGTGGACTGCATTGTGACAATCTGCAAATTCATGAAATAATCAAGATTCCTGTAGAACAGAGCAAGACTTGACCTAGCCTTTATGGGAGACAATAAAAATGTAATGCTGTCCCTTCCAATTGTTGATTGGAGTCAACAATTAATATAATTTGCTAGGTAAATAGCTACATACCAGTTACCAGAACTTGTGTTGATTTCTCCTATAAAAGAAGATCCCATTTGGAATAGCAAGTGCTATTAGAGTCCTGATTCTTAATCCACTGTTTCTAAGTGAATTCTCTAAGACATACCTGCCTTTTACACTGTCAAACTGGTGAGTTAAATGGACCTTAGATAGGATCTTTCATCTTTGTTTCATAGAAGACTTTGATATTGGCACTAATGTTTGTGATTCTACAAATTTTCACTATTTTGATAGTAAGGGAACATTTCAGAAGCTCTTCTTACCACAATAACTCTTACCCTCTAGGTTAAAATACCAATACAGGGATTATGCACTTCCTAAATATGGTAAAATAATGATGGTAAAACTCCAACAAAATACAACCAGTTGAGTCCAAAACATCAATTGCCAAAATTACAGGAACATGTAATTGAGAAGTTAATAGCATGTTTGGGGTGAGCCAATCTAGTGTAGATTCAGAGCCAGTGTTTTCCAGGCCTATCTGTTCTGGTTAAGGTTTGGCACCACCTAGTGGAAATGATCTATTCCAGCTTAACAGTTGAAAGGGTGATTCTCAGTCCTCCTGTGGATAGCTAGCACTTCCAGAACAAACATAATAATGCCAGGAACATCTTGATCAGTTGGCATTTATTTTATTGGTTCAAGTTAGAATATTGGATTCTCCTCTACCTCATGTTATCCACAGAAACTTCCTACTGATGAATAACAGTCATTATCACTCCTTTTTTTTTTTTTTAAGTTAGTACTCTTCATGAAAGAATTTCCCTGTTTCCTGTTCTTTGGGACATAGAGCGTAGATGAACCACTAACAAAAAAAAAAAGAAATCCACTACAAATTTCTCATTTCTTTATTTCCTCTCCCAAATATCAAGTAATGTTCAAAAATAAGAAAAAATAGGAAAGAAAGAGATAAAATCTTCATTTGCAAATGAGTGTATAAAATGCTGAGAAAAACCAATAGAATCTAAATATTACACTAAAGAAAGTTCTGTAAGTTTTCTGCCTCTAAAATCAACCTACAAAAACTAATAGCATTTCTCACACCATCAATCACCAAGTAGAAAATATTGCTAAAATTAAATTTAATATGAGTAAATACTATTCATAAAAATCAGAATATGTAATATATTTGGGCATTAGTAAGATTTCTTGTGAAAAAAACTTTTAAATTGTTATGAAGGACATAGAAGAAAATCTGGATAAAAGCAGAAACAGTCATACTCTTGGGTAGATGGCAATATTAAAAAGATGCTAATTCTCCCCAAGTTAACCAAAAAATCTAATGCAATCAAAAATCAAAATTTCACGTGGAGTTTTTGAGAAACTCAATATGCATCACTACAATGAATCTGAGAACATATATTAAAGAAAACAGATATTTACTAGAGACAGGGAGGAGAGCAGTCAGTACAAATGGGGTTTCACTGGGGATGAAAGGCGAATGAGTAGGAATTAGCCAAAAGAAAGGCTTAGTGGAGGTAGAGAGAGCATTGCAGGTGGGAGAACCACAGCAATCAATCAGTGATAAAAGCACTAGTAGAGATAACCTAAGGCAGATTAAGCAACTACAAGACATTGTATTTCACCTATTAGATTAACAAAGTTTTTAATTGACAATGATGTTGTGAATATTCGTGATTGCAACAAGGAGTGAAAAATAAAGCTTTTCTGAAAAGTTGATAATATGTTTCCAAAATCATAACTAAGACCATACTTGTTGACAATTTTCCCTCCTTGAAATCTATCCTAAGCAAAAAAATTAAAACTCAGATGTATTTTATGGACAAAAATAGTCATTAAACATTACCTGACACGTTGAAAAATTAGGAAAAACAAAACAAAGTGATCAAATAAATTATGTACAACCATATGGCAGAATATTATACAGTCAATAGTATACATAAATGCTAGATATAATATCACTTTTAAAAGCAGAGGGGAAAAAAAATCAATTGGAGTGTTCCATTGCCAACCAAACTTTTTAGTGCTCAGTGCACAATTTGTTGCTTAATTATAACTTGAGTAAAAACTGATGATTGAAAA